TCGCTTATTTTGCTCAACTATTCAATAAGTTTTATTTACCAAATATATTCTGGAAGCAAATAAATTTTACTTCTGTCAAATAAATAATTTATTTTACAGAACTAAATTAATTAATAAATATTGCCATTGCTTTGGCCCGCTATATTTACGTCTACCATTTAATAATAGTAACCAAATTTTGATAATATTTACTAAATTCTTCTCTCAGTGTATATGCATCACTGACAGGCAAGGGGTTAAACGGGAAGTTGAAGAAGTTTTCAGGTCTCGCTTTTAGATAAATACATCGATGTGTGGCAAGGGTTTCAAACGCAACAATTATTTTCACGCGTTTGCCGTTTTGCCATAAAGAAGAAATCGCCGAGTCGTTCCGCTCTTATCAAGTGGGAAGTCGGAAGCGCTTGCTGGTCCCGTATCCAGACAAATCGCAGACGCAAAAGCCAATTAGATCTCCTTCGCGTTGCGCGAGAGCGAGAGAAGTTAGAAAGGCGAGAGACCACCGTTGTGTGTAGGTAGGGGCACACCACGCCCGGCTCGGGATATTACATATATCTTTTTCATAACAGAGCGATCTGTGCGCGCGAACTTGTTATTGCGATCGCCGTCAGCGCGCATGAATCGCATACACACTATTGAAAAGAACGCCATTAAAGAAAAAATGTGCACCAAGCCTCTACACGGTTTGCGCGCGCGCGCTCACTTTGCTCAAGAGAGAGACTCGTAACTTCGCGGTCTCTTTATCTGCGGATATTGCATCGGACGGAGACGTAGTAATTCTCTTTCCGAAGGATTTCAAAATATTTATCGTGCAGCACTTAACTCTCTTTCTCTCTCTCTCTCTCTCTTTCTCTTCCTCTTTGTTTTCGCGAGCCGCAATTATTTAAATGTGTTACAAGAGAGAAAGGGAAGAAGAGAGGGAGATGCGCCGCTCAATGGCGGTCATAAATTTTAACGTCGACGTGAAACAGGCAAAAGACGCATTCGCGATGCGCACGAAGGTATTTACGGGCGCTTTAACGATCTCGCGATCTAATTAATACAATTGTCCCAGTAACAAAGAAAGAGGCAGAAAAAGCGAAGGGGGAAGGAGGAGAGGAGACATGCACGAGATTGGGCATTCGGTCGCGGAAGCCGCTCCCCTATTTATTTGTCTCTCGTCGCGGAATACACCTGCACGCATTAATGACCACCATGATCAATTAATTCTCATTAATTGAGAGAGAGAGAGAGAGAGAGAGAGAGAGAGAGAGAGAGAGAGAGAGAGAGAGAGAGAGAGAG